TGTTGACTTGGAGACCATTTTCCTGGACTCTCTGAGGCTTGAGGATTTTTTCCTCCCCTGAAACAGAAGCTAGGTCATACATGAAACAATCAGGGAATATATTAACTAGTCTCTCCAACAGGCTTCATTTCTGTATGAATGTGCCTCTTCTCTGTTTGAAACCAGGGAATCAAATCATACCGAAGACCTGGAAATCACACCAGACTGAAGACTAGCTGCAACCACAATAGGTCGGTCTTTTTGAGGTGCTGCTGACCACCCACTTGTCTACCAAGTTAGCCAGTGTTAAACCATGAATTCAACATACTCAGTAAAACCAGTCACTCTGGGATCTCTCTAGGGGAAACAGTCATGCTCTTGTGAACCTACACATGGCTTTAAGTTAATAATTCAAAGCCCAACCAAAGATCCTAGATAAGAAACTGTAAAAGGAACAGGCACTTTTCAGGTTGTTATTATTCTCTGTAAAACCACAGCTTTTCACATGTAAGATATAATGAATCAGGAACACTTTTTGGTAGACTTAGGATGTTCTCTTGGATTCCCCATGGGATCCACTCCAAATTCTCTGGTATTTTAAAATTGGTTTATCTATATTATTTATCATCCTAGTTCAATGTGGCCTCAAATGTGGTTCTAAAACTAAAATAAACGTACCCCGATCATAGTGCTCCAACAAGCCAGATGCTGACCCGGTACTCATGAGTACTTCTGATTATAGTGCCACATTTCCATTCCTTATCATTATTGCACCTCACCCCTCCTCAGCATGAAGCAGCCGGAAGGATCAGCGACCAGATTCTCCATGATTGAGGAAGTGATAAATAGAAAAGAGAGACTGAAACCGGCCCTGTTGTCTCATAGAACTCATAGAACTCCTAGAGCTAATATTTACAGGTGGGTTTTTTTTTTTTTTTTTTTTTTGTAACAGAAATGGACCCTGTCTGGTAGTCCCAGCTACTCCGGAGGCAGAGGCAGGAGAATGGCGTGAACCCGGGAGGCGGAGCTTGCAGTGAGCCGAGATCATGTCAGTGCACTCCAGCCTGGCCGAGAGAGCGAGACTCCGTCTCAAAAACAAAAAAAAACAAAAAAACAAAAAACAAAAACAAAAACAAACAAAACTTATTTGCTTTCCTGAGTTTCTTGCTCAGGAAATCGACTTTCAGGCAAGGAACTGAAACTCATCAGAGCACCATACCCAGAAAATGAGACTATAGATCCTTCAGTCAGCATGATTTTTTTCCTTACCTCTGCCTGATTTCGATTTTCCCCGTCCACGTAGTGTCAAACTTTGTAAAATATTTGAAGAGATTTATTCTGAGCCAAATATGAGAGACTATGCCTGTGACACAGCCCTCAGGAGGCCCTGCGAACATGCGCCCAAGGTGGTTCAGTTACACACTGGTTTCGAACATTTGAGGGAGACATGAGACTTCAATCAACTATAAACATTTACTGATTGGCAATTGGTTGAGTTTATCTAAAGACCTGGAATCAATAGAAAGGAAATGTCTGGGTTGTGATAAGAGCTTGTAGAAGTCAAGGTTTTATCATGCAAACGAAGTCTCCAGATAGCAGACTTGAGAGAGAATAGACTGTAAGTATTGATACCTGAGAGCTATAATGAAGCATGTTCGACACCCACTTCCTGTCATGGCCTGAACCCGCCTCTCAGGTTAAATTTTCAAAGAGCCCTAGTTGAAGAGGAAGTCCATTCAGATGGCTGGGAGGCCTTAGAATTTCATTTTTGGTTTACCTCCCCAACACAGCTACATTTCTGCCTGCACATAGCTACATTCCTTCTTCACTGAATAACCTCCCAATTTTAGTTTGTTGGAGAACAAACCCAGAATAAAGCCAATTCTAGTCATAGCACTGCAGCTTGTATCAGATGAAAGAAACCTACAAAAAGATAATCATAAAATTTGGATAAAACATAAAACAACTGAGAAGGCAAAATTTGAGGGGCTCCAATTAATCAAGGTTTACTGCTTATATTCTATGTGACTGCCAGAAAAAAAGAAACAAAACTTTTTGGTAGGAAGATCATTTAAAATCTCTGTTTTTAGTACATAAAGCCTATCATTTAATTAAAAATTATGGGACAACCTAAAAAGAAAAAGAACTAAATATCAAAACACTAATTGACAAGTCAAATGATAAAAACTGAGCTATATATGGTTCAGATAATGATATCAGTAGATCTACTATTCACCATTCTAATCCCTTTGTAGTGCCCTAGAATGCTGACTCTTATATATAATATCCCTGGACACTATTGTCCTGAAGCTCTAGATATGTTTGTGCTAATAGGAAGAATAAGCAAAGATTTAAAGGTGGGAGAATCCTTCCCTACAGCACTAGGAAATGGATATGGAGTTGTTCTCACTGAGTGTACCTCCGGGGAGGCAGCCTTCATCAGCTGTACTTTCTGCTGCTTCAGTTAATTGCTACCAGCGTTGTTCTCTCAGGCCTAATGGTAGTAATGGCTTCTCGCAGTAGCTAGCCCTGGGGTATTTCACTATCCCTCACTGGTTTCCTTTGGTCTTATCTACATCTTGTAAGTTGTCTTGTTATTTTATCTTCTTAAATTTTCCTTTTAATGTATAACCTGTTTTTTGGTTTTTGGATCCCAAGTGTGTGTTTCCTTTTTGTACCTGAGTATATCACTGTCACTGCGGTCTCTCACCTTTTAAATGATGTGACTCTGAAGGTGTGTGTCTCCAAACTTTTTATCCCTGTGCACTTTTCTTCACCTATCTTCATTTCTTTCTCTTTTTGCCATTATAACAACCCACAAAAAATATATAATTTAGGTAATGGATAATGTATCACTTATGTTTAATATTGGAAGACATTTGTAATTATATTTGCAGATTGTCTCTTAGTATTCAACTGGAATGAAAATTGATATAGGCTGATTTCGTATCTCGTCTATTGCAAATAATGCTGCAATAAACGTGGGAGTGCAGGTATCTGTAGTATATATGCACAATGGAATATTATTCGACCATAAAAAAGAAATAAATTCCTGTCATTTGCAGAAACATGAGTGGAACTGAAGGTCGTTATGTTAACTGAAATAAGCCATGCACAGAAAGACAAATATCACATGTTCCCACTCATATGTGAGAGCTAAAAGAATGAATCTCATGGAGGCAGAGAGTAGAATTGTGGTTACCAGATGCTTGGAAAGGGGTGGTGGGGGATAAAGATAAGTTGGTTGGGTACAAAAGTAAAATTAGACAGAAGGAACAAATTCTAGTATTTGATAGTACAGTGGGAAAACTATACTTAACAATAATTTATTGTATATTTCAAAATAGCTAAAAGAGAAGAATTGTAGTATTCCCAACAGAAGGAAAACGTAAGTGTTTGAGGGAATTAATATTTTTATTACCCTGATTTGGTCATCACACATTGTATACAGGTTTCAAAATATCACATGTACCTCTAAAATATGTACAACTATTGTATATCAATAACAGAATTAAAAAAAAACTGATATAGGCTGTGAAGGGCAAACCATTAAATCATCTCAGATCTCAGCTTATTCATGTGCATATGAATGTTTTAGCTGGCTCTAAACCAAGGATTTTGTATGAAGTAATAGTTATTCAAATATTTTCAACAAAATAGAGTACCTTGCAAACAGGACTTTGAGATTTTTCATTTGTTTCCTCTTACAATTCATCATATACTCTTCATCTTCTAGTGTTGATTGATGAAACCATCTTCCATATGAAACAACACAGCAATATAACACAGAACAAGACTCTGCCTGTGTGGTGGCCGGTTTCCATCCTTTCACAAACAAAGAGATATTTATAAACAAATATTTATATGCAAATATTTGATCCACCTAGGAAAAGCAGAGGGCTAGTCTTTCCCACCAGGGGAGGCATTAGAGCCTGTGCACGTATTTGAACAAGGTAACCGGAGACTTTGGTCCAGTCTCAACTCTACCACTCACCAATTATGTGATGTTGGATACAAACTTAACCACTTTGCAACTCACTTCCCCCTCTGTAAAATAAGGGTGATAGTAATACCTGGTTTAGAGAGTTGTAAAGATAAAATCAACATTAATAAAGTACTTAAGATGAAGTAATCATGTTTTGAATATATTTTCCTTTAAATTTGGCTGCCAATATTTTCATGGTAATATTTTCAACTGTATTTCAATAGCTTTTTCTTTAAGCATCAGGAGAAAATCTACTATTGTTTTAATTAAATCGACATTGAATTTTTTGATACATTTAGGAGAATTTAGTTTCTTTTTATACAGTATTGATGCTTCTAATCCCACAGCATGTTTTTCTATTTTTTTCTTTTCTTCAATAGTTTTAAAATTGTTTCGTTCATATTGGTTGTGCAAATATCTAGTTAATTTCTATTTGTAATATTGTCCTATTTATTTTTAGTAGCTCTTATAAAGGGAGCCTTTTATTTTTCCTGTCTATCCTGACATAATAAAGCAATTAGTTTTTAATTGATTTTTTAAAATCTTTGTGCATTCTCTTTTATATGTATGATAATCAGGCCTAACCATTTTATGGTTTATATGTGGCAATGTCAAGAAGAATTTTACAGTAAGATTTACTAATGAATATTAGAAAACATACTCAAAAACAGTCCTCTCCACCCCTCATTTCCGCTTGCATATTTGATCAAGACATGAGATCAAAAATACTAAGACTATTGAGTCTAACTAATAAGACACAAATGTGGACTTTGGAGACTCATTTCCTTCCCACTTTTGGTAGCTTAGCTGAGGAGGCGATCAAATGGATTGAGTCAGTCTGTAGAGAGAGAGCAAGGCTGATTATAGTTTTCCTGGCCTGCAAAGCTGTTCCCAGAGCCCTAAGTATACAGACCTTGGTCATCAGTATACATACTCCCTGGTGTGGTTTCTGGGCCTCAGATCCCTTAATATGTAGGTTGGCGCTAAAGTAATTTTGTAAACATTTAAAGGCAAAAACCACAATTACTTTTGCTTTTAATGGCAAAAACCACAATTACTTTTGCACCAACCTGTATCTTGTTATTTAGAGAAACTAGGCATTCCCTACCTCTCTTGGGCAAACCTATAGCTATGTAACATGGCAATGGAATGACACTAACTGCCTCATTCTCCCTGGGAGTGCTCTCTGCATGTTCAGTCTCCCAGTGAAGAGAACCCTTCTATCAGGACCTTCATCATGATACAAAAGGAATATCTATGCCAGGCCACAGCTGCAGATCAGTGAGTGTCTGAGAACTGTATCTTTTCTGTTATTTTTCTGCTTGAAAGTTTTTCACCAATAAATCCTGCACTATGTCTGCACCATATGGTGCTAGTTATTTGTATTCTCTTGCATGACACTAGTAATATTATCCAAACACAATTTCAAAAACTACTTTCTGCAGTTGGTAAATATACAGAAATTGAGAAAAAGGAAGAAATATGAGGAAGAAAGATATTGCCTGTTGCAACAGTTCAGTGTTCTTAACTGAAGCCACAGATGAGACATCGCTCATTTGCAGACATATGGGTGATTGGTACAGTCAGTTTATGAACAGAAGTTTAAACTTGTAAGCTTAAGCTTCCGTTTATAAACAGAAGTTTAAAATTATAGGTCCTGTTTAATATTCAGTTCTGTTAACTCATTCTCACCTTTTTGTGTTTTTACTTTGTCAAGATTTCTTTACATATTCATCAATGTCTGAAGAAGTTACTTATGCAGATCTTAAATTCCAGAACTCCAGTGAGACAGAAAAAATCCAAGAAATTGCCAAATTTGGGGAAAAAGGTAAGATTTTGAGTTATGGATGTGTCGTAAGTTTGTGTAATAGAAGTGGTTACAGCCTTGCATCTTCAGTATTAGTAATATAGTTATTATTCAACTTAAATTTTCAATTAAGCCTCTTATGTTTAAGCAAAGGAACCAAAAGTATATAAACAAAATGATTAGGAAAAAAGGGTTCTGTAAAAACACTTATCTGTGCATTGAAGACTCAATCTTTTACATTTTTGAAATTTTTTATTATCACACTCAATATAATTGGGACAGAATTTTTCAAATGATTGGGTTGTGTGAAGATTTTATTTCTTTATGAGATGAAGCCATGGAAAAAGGAACATGTTCAGGAAAGTCATGACTTCACATCTGTGTGTGTGTGTGTTTTTAATAAGAAAATACTTTGGGTATGCATGCAGAAAAGAAGGAGAGACAGACACAGAGTCAGAGCGATCTTTAAAGGATTTCATTTGACTATCTGCCAAACCAGGCATATATCACCCTAAAATTTCTCCTACTGCTTTTGGAGATTTTTTAATAACTTACTAAAAAATAAAATATGTTAAGTTAAATGAAATGAATAATTAAGGAATAAAGGAAGTAAAGAAATATCAGAAGAGATAACATATTCATAATATTCAAAACCACATAATATCAGGAAGCTTTGTATTTTTCAATTCAAATTAAAATCATGAAATAAGTGGACCATCTGTGTTGACTTTCACTTAAACAAAACTACTCTTCATCTTACTCAGAATCCTATAGTTTTCCTATTATGTATGGTTCTTACCTTCTGGCTCCCAGCCTTTTGGAGTGAAATCTGCCCTAGTGAATCCATAGTTTAAACCAGTGTATTTGAGTTAAAAATAACTTAAACAGTGATAATGGAGAACACAAAGAAGGGTGATAGAAACAGAGAAATAAGGAGAGAAGAATGCCAAAATTCTCATATATTATTTAACTTTTTGTCCCCTCCCCTATCCCCACACAGAATATAACATCTTTAATATTCTAGCATTGCTATAAACAGAAATTTCACTGTTACATCTTGAATCTATTTATCATGAGCATTGTAAATCTTGAGAAAGGACAGCAGATTAATTCTGTGGGCTTCTTTTTTAATACTGAAATTTTCTTAGAAAGAAGAAGGGTCTACGAATTTTACAACGTTTTCTGTCTTTATTTCCCTGTTTGTATTTCTTCTTTTATATGCCGAAAGAGAATGGGCATATCATAAGCTTAATATTACCAACAATTGCCCTTTACTTGTCCCCTCATGCCCTTTCCCACCTCTTTTCCTGCCAATCCACCTTAAGTTCCCACCACAAGAATTCTTTGAATTCATGCAAATATTGAATCCATGTCTTCTTCATGTTCTTAATCTCATCTAATTTTCTCATTATCCAGCTTAGAATCCACATTATGTAATACAACATTGTATTATGTAATGTCTACTCTTAGTCTCTTACATTTCTCCTTTTCAATGTATGTTAATTTTTCCTTAAAAACTTCAATTCTGGTTAGGGGCAGTGACTTATACCCATAGTCCTAGCACTGTGAGAGGCCAAGATGGGAGGATTATTTGAGGCCAGGAGTTTGAGACCAGCCTGGGGAAAGGAGAGAGATGCCATGTCTATAAAAAAAATTTTTTTTTTTAATTAACTGGGCACCCATTGTCTCAGCTGCTTGGAAGGCTGAGGAAAGAGGATTACTCGAGCTCAGAAACTGGAGGCTGTGCAGAGTAAGCTATGATCAGGTGACTGTACTTCAGTCTAGGTGACACAGCAAGATCCTGCCTCAGACAAATCAAAACAAAACAAAATGAAAAACCCAAAAACCAACAAATAAAAACAACTCCAGTTCTGGTTAAACCCAAATATCTACCCAGTCTGCCCCAGAGTTGAATATTGCTGGTGAAAAATGCACAAATTTTCAACTCCAGTTACTCTTACCTTTCCTCTGGTGAGAAAAAAGCATCAACCTACACTTTTTATTTTTGTTATTTAAATTTCTATCCTACAATGTCTTTACTGATACTCTGCCTTCCTTCCAGACAGTATTTACGATAGGTATGCACTTATGAAAGGACAGCTCCCCATTTTGCTCTGAATTTCAGTCCATGTGTCCTTTTCAAAGACAGACTTCTGTAATTTTTTTCCTTTCTCTCCTGTGTCATTATTCTCTCTTCCTTCTCTGCTTTTCCTTTTTAGTGGACTAACATACTCTACTACTCACCAACATATTCATATCATAACAAAACACAATCCTTGCTTGACCACTTAAGCCTTTCCATTATTATGTAACTTATTTGTTTCCTTTCACAGCTCAACTTTTGAAAGCATTTTCTTTGGCCACTGACTCTCAGTTTTTCACTTCTCATTCTGTTCTCAACCAACTCTATTAGGCTTCTGCCCCCTTGGTGTCCTGGAGACTGAGCTTTAGGTCACTGATGTCCTGCCTGTTTCATCCCAGTAATCACATGTCTCTTCCATTACTTCACTTCCCTGCAGCATTCAAAAAGTTGAACAGTCCTCTAAAGGCTTTCTTTGCACATCCTTCCTGACACATCCTTATGGCTTCTCCTGTCACCATGCCTGCCTCTCCTCAGTCTTTGTTGACTCTTTCTTCTAGATGAAACTCTACAAGATGGAATACTCTGGAGCCGTGTCCTGTGTCCCCTTTTATTGCATCACTCAATACACTCATCTAATCTACCTTGTTCAGTTGTTTGACTTTAAATAGAGGGACTCCCAGATATCTCTGTATGACCTTTCCCTGGATCTCAAGACTAGAAAATACAAGTGCCTCTTTCACATTTCCATAAGGAGTTCTAATCTCATTTTAAACTTAAAATGTCAAAAATAGTAATACTTATTTTTCTTCTAAAATGGTCTCTCTCTCCAGACAGCCTCACCTCTGTGCCAGTTCTGTTCTAATTGCATTACAAATATTAAACCATTTAGTGTCTGATATTTTGCAGTCTTTCTCTCTCCCTTTCTTTAACAATGCTGAAGCTTAGACACATAGATGTTAAAAGATGTTAAATAACTTTCTCATGGTTTCACAAGCAATAAGCAGCAGAACCAGAATTCAAACAAAAACATGCTGATATGGTTTGACTGTGTCCCCACCAAAATCTCATCTTGAATTGCAGCTCCCATAAGTCCCACATGTTGTAGGAGGGACATGGTGGGAGGTAATTGAATCATGGGGGAGGGTCTTTCCCATGAGGTTCTTGTGATAGTGAATAAGTCTCATGAGATCTGATGGTTTTATAAAGAGGAGTTTCCCTGCACAAGTTCTCTCTTCTCTTGTCTGCTGCCATGTGAGATGTGCTTTTCACCTTCCACCATGAGTTTGAGGCCTCTCCAGCCACATGGAACCATGAGTCCATTAAACCTCTTTTTACTTATAAATTACCCAGTTGTGGGTATGTCTTTATCAGCAGTGTGAAAATGAACGAATGCAGTAAATTGTTACCAGTAGAGTAGGGCACTGCTGTAAAGATACCCAAACATGTGAAAGAGACTTTGGGACTGGGTAACTAGCAGAGGTTGGAATACTTTGGAGGGTTCAGAAGAAGACAGAAAAATGTGGGACAGTTTGGCACTTCCTAGAGACTTCTTGAATGGCTTTGACAAAAATGGCGATAAGGCTGAGGTGGTCTCAGATGGAGATGAGGAATTTGTTGGGAACTGGAGCAAAGGTGACTCTTGTTATGTTTTAGCAAAGTGACTGGTAGCAGTTTGCTCCTGCCCTAGAAATTTGTGGAACTTTGAACTTGAGAGAGATGATTTAGCATATCTGGCAGAAGAAATTTCTAAGCAGTGAAGCATTAAAGATTTGATTTGGGTGCTGTTAAAAGCATTCACTTTTATAAGGGAAGCAGAGCATAAAAGTTCAGAAAATTTGTGGCTTGACAATGATAAAGAAAAGAAAATCCCATTTTTTTGAGGAGAAATTCAAACCAGCTGAAGAAATTTCTAAAGTAATGAGGAGCCAAATGATAATCGCCAAGGCAATGGGGAAAATGACTCCAGGGCATATCAGAGGTCTTCACAGCAGCCCCTCCCATCACATGCCCAGAGGCCTAGGAGGAATAAATGGTTTTATGGACTGAGCCCAGGGTCAGGGTCCCTCTGCTGTGTGCAATCTAGGACCTTGGTGCCCTGCATCCCAGCTGCTCCAGCCATGACTAAAAGAGGCTAAGGTACAGCTCAGGCCATGGCTTCAGAGGGTGCAAGCCCCAAACCTTGGTAGCTTCCATGTGGTGTTGAACCTTTGAGGTGCACAGAAGTCAAGAATTGGGTTTTGGCAACCTCCGTCTAGATTTCAGAGGATGTATGGAAACACTTGGATGTCCAGGCAGAAGTTTGCAACAGGCATGGGGTGCTCATGGATAACCTCTGCTAGGACAGTGCAGAAGGGAAATGTGAGGTCAGAAGCCCCACACAGAGTCCCCAGTGGGGTACTGTCCAGTGGAGCAGTGAGAAGTCAAACACCATCCTTCAGCCCTCAGAATGGTAGATCCACTGACAGCATGCACTGTCCACCTGGAAAAGCTGCAGACACTCAATATCAGCCCATGAAAGCAGCCAGGGGGGAGACTGTAAAGCCATAGGAGCAGAGCTGCCCAAAGACATGGAAGCCTATCTCTTGCATCAGCATGACCTGGATGTGAGACATGGATCCAAAGGAGATAATTTTGGAGCTTCAAGATTTGATGCCCCTGCTGGATTTTGGACTTGCATGGGGCCTATAGCCCCTTTGTTTCAGCTAATTTCTCCCATTTGGAATGACTGTATTTATCCAATGCCTGTACCCTCATTGTATACAGGAAGTAACTAACTTGCTTTTGAATTTACTGGCTCATAGGTGGAAGGGACTTGCCTTTTTTAAGATAGACTGTGGACTTTTGAGTTAATGCTGAAATGAGTTAAGACTTTTGGGGACTGTTGGGAAGGCATGACTGGTTTCAAAATGTGAGGACATGAGATTTGGGAGATGTCAGGGGTGCAATGATGTGGTTTGGCTGTGTCTCCACCCAAATCTCATCTTGAATTATAGCTCCCACAATTTCCACGTGTTGTTAGAGGGACCTGGTTGGAGGTAATTGAATCATGTGGTGGGGGTCTTTCCCATGCTGTTCTTGTAATCGTGAATAAGTGTCATGAGATCTGATGGTTTTATAAAGTGGTGTTTCCCTGCACAAGTTCTCTCTTCTCTTGTCGGCCACCATGTGAGACGTGCCTTTCACTTTCCACCATGATTGTAAGCCCCCACCAGCCATGTGCAACTGTGAGTTCATTAAACCTCTTTTTCCTTATAAATTGCCCAGTCTTGGGTATGTCTTATTAGCAATGTGAAAATGGACTAATACACATGCTAACCCTAAAGATGGCATTTTGCTTTTTATCACTATGAGATACTGCCTACAAATGTGCATATCTACCAACTTTCTCTAAAGAAAAATTTCATAAATTTGTGCCATAGATTTTAGCTTAAAAATGTATACTTAATTTATCCATGGGTCATCAAATTCCCTAGTGCTAGCTAATCAAACTACTGTTCTCTTTCCATGTCATATTGTAACAGATTTCTTACTGATAAAACAACTCCTTTATTTTGCCATCCTAGATTAAATTCTTCCAGTGCTTTCCCCAAAAATCTAACTTACTCTGGCTAGAAAAGGCTGTAAATAATGTTTCCTCCTTGTTATTTTAAAAACAAAACAAAAGAAAACAAATAAAACCTTCTTTAATGTAATTTTTCACATTGGCCACCCTTCTTCTGCCCCTCTGAATATATTCTGTTTTTCAAATAGAAATCTTTTCCTTAAATTGTTGTCTTTGAACTTCATGTAATTGCTACCTGTAATATTCTTCCTACTGATTTTGCATGCTGGTTCCTCATGTTCATAAGATTTGAACTGCCTGCTCTTTATAACAGCTTAATTTCAAATCTCTGCACAACATAGCCAAATTTGAGATCTTTTCTCCCTTTCTTTCCCTTTCTTCCTGTCTCACTTATATATCTATTTATCTATTTCCTCCTACAATTAAAATTTATTTCTATGAAAACAACAACGTGTACATCTTGCTCACTTCGATATTGTTAGCACCCAGGATAATGCCTAATAAATGCAAGGCACTCAAAAGATAACTTTGAATAATTAAACTTTTTAATAATTGAATAAGTTCATTGAATAAATAAACTTTTGAATAATTGAATACATATATAAATAAGAAAATAATTTTAAGAAAGAGTGCTTGAATTTATAATTCTAATCTTAGATAAAAATCTTGAACATGTAGTCCTTTCAGTAGTAACTATTTTCTAAAGTCTATGGAAGTTAAGTTTTACTTTTTATTAGTGATTATCTCTGAATTTCACAATATTATTGCACCATCAACTGTGAGATGTAAGACATAGCTCAGAAGTATAGTAAGATTATTATAGTATCCCAGCATTGTATTTTCTTGAAATACCTGGCTAGTCTTTACCTAATGTGTAATACCTTTATACATAATGATTATTTAAATAACATAGTCACAATAATAATTCACTCATATTATAAAGTTTATAATTTCTGTTTTTTTAAATAGAGAAATGATCTATTCTAAGATTCACTATTCCCTAAAAAGGAAGTATTCAATAAAAATTTCTTGCAAAAAAGTATGAAAAAATTTTTGAAAAATTACAATAAAAAAGGTGTAGATCTGGACTGACTAAGATCAAAAGTTAATGGGAGGATTAACAAAGACATTACAAAGAGACAGCCTATTTTGTTTGTTCTGAAGCTAAATCCTCATAATTACCTGGCGGGGGGGATACATAAACAACTGAAAGTGTTTTTCTTGACATGCCACAATTGTCTACTCAAGCAAAGACTACTCCTGTTGGCTTCTCTGTTAATTTCCAGCTACTGACTTTTCCCAAATTTGTATAAACAAAATACACCATATCTAGGTTGACTGGTTTTCTCCATTCTCTATTACAAATTCTGTTTTTGCTTATCTGATTTTTTAAATCAGTCTACCAGTTAACAGCTTCTCCTGCTAGAATCAATTTACATACAAAACAATGAAGTGATTTTGATTTATTCTTGACATATTCTTCAAAAATATTTTTTGAATATTCTTGAATGGCTAGTAAATCCACTTCTTTCCAATAGGCATATTAGGAAATAAAGATAAAATGAATGAATGAATGAATGAATGAGCAAATAATTCAAATGAAAGTGTATACCATTTTTAGGCCTCTCTGTTAATTTTGCTTTCCACAGCACCTCCAGCTCCCTCTTGTGTATGGCGTCCAGCAGCGTTGTTTCTGACTGTTCTGTGCCTTCTGATGCTCATTGGATTGGGAGTCTTGGGAAGCATGTGTATGTACTGCCCCTGTTTTGGTCAAAAGAGAAAGTATCTAGAATTTCAAATATTTAACAACTAAAGTTTATTCCTTAAGTGGAAGATTTATAATAATGATAGGTGATAGGCCCACAAGGGGGACTTACAATGTGGAACTCAGTCTCTTTCCCTCACTCCTGTAGAGTAATTGCTTTCCCTACCCCTTTGATCTTTATACTACTTCTGCAAATGATAAAGGATGATGGTTCTATTGAGAATTCATTTTTTTTAATGTGGAGTTCACATTACTTTGAAGACAGCAATGAAAAAAATGAACAAACTACAAAATATCAATGAAGAGCTTCAAAGAAATGTGTCTCTACAACTGATGAGTAACATGAACAGCTCCAACAAGATCAGGAACCTCTCCACCACACTGCAAACAATAGCCACCAGATTATGTCGTGAGCTATACAGCAAAGAACAAGGTAATCTTGGAGTTATTTATTGGACAATAAACTAAACCACTGAGTCTCTTAAGAATCATTTTATAATTAGCTAGCAGCCTTTCCCTAGGGAGTCATAATTTGGGGGAAAGAATTACGTGTGGTTGATGGAGAATTCATTGATATTTCCACACAGTTAGAAGAAAAACAGAAAAAGTCATAATAGCAATAGGCCCCCAAATTATCAGGAGATAATGGTTACATAATAAAATGTTAGACAGGACAGTTTCTCTAATCTGTCAGTTACTATAATTATTCTGGGCACTGAGGTTAATAGAAGATAGGGAGGAAGTGACAGCTCTTTACAGGTGACTTCATTCTTAAATTTCAGTCAGTGACTGATAACAAATTCCATAGGAAAAAATAAATAGAGACTTCACCTTTGGGATCAGGGGGAGTTGGTCTTCTAGTGTCTCCGTAAGTTTCTATAGTCATGATTGCTAAAACATATTCCTTTTGCTCCCAAGAAACCTCAAAATTTCAACAGTTCAGAGAACAAAAATTAAAGAAGGTAAGATTTGTATAGATAGGTGGGGTTAATTCTTACTATGCAGAATGTTTCCTGTAACTAGTTTTTATTGTCATTAAAGAATATAAAAAATAGCAAAGAGGAATTGTTACAGGAAGATACACTTGAATCCAAGTGCTTAATTTGAAATTTTTTTGTTCAAGTTATGGGTCTGACACATTATGGTAGTATATAAGGAACCAGAATACAGGATTCACTTACTTCCCTTTTGGTGTAAAAAGAAGACACAGCATGTAATCCCAGCTACTTGGGTGGCTGAGGCAGGAGAGTTGCTTGAATCCAGGAGGTGGAGGCTGCTGTGAGCTGAGATCGCGCCACTACACTCCATCTTGGGCAACAGAGCAAGACTCTGTCAAAAAAATAAATAAATAAATAAAAAGAAAGAGAGAAAGAAAAAGAAAGAAGAATAAACAGCAAATGTGGTCAATGTCACACAGAGAAGAAAGGAAATAATAAGAATTATTATGACTATCAACAAAACCTAAATAAAACTATGTTCTTCTTCCAGAGCACAAATGTAAGCCTTGTCCAAGGAGATGGATTTGGCATAAGGACAGCTGTTATTTCCTAAGTGATGATGTCCGAACATGGCAGGAGAGTAGAATGGCCTGTGCTGCTCAGAATGCCAGCCTGTTGAAGATAAACAATAAAAATGCATTGGTAAAGCCCAGGTGTTTCTGCCATCATGGGATAGAAAGGGATGTGGCATGTTGGAGAAGACCTCAATCAACCCACTCATGATTCTGGTTTATTTTAGTTGGGGTATGAAGTGACTGAAACTTTGTACACTTATCTCAAGATTATCATAGGCAAGGTAAAACATATACAAGGTTAGGACCTTAGCATAAGAGGATTACTAGACGACAGGTAGATGAGTATTACAGGGCACCCAGAATCTAAAAGTCTGTAAGCATTTCCAAATTAGAATCTAAAATCAAATCTCAGAACATAATTTATAAACATTTATCTAAAAACAGAGGATATGGAGATTATTCCTCAGGGTTAGTAATTCCGTAAGAACTACATAGGAGCATATGTTTTGTTTCTACCATTTTGTAATTTTTAATTCACTAAGAGAAATAGGCAAGTTATAGTAGGTTAGCATAAAATATGTACAAACAGGAAGAACTGAAGTAAGATGGCACAGGCAAGTGTCAAACAGATATATTGCACTGAGTTCTTGAATCCCAGGAAAAATGTATTTTCTAGCAGCTTTATTGATTTTTTCATTTTCTTAGTTTTCCATGTCTAAATAATGTTTCCATGTTATACTTACTACATAGCATTTTTGGTCTCTCAAATAGTAATCATATATTTTTAAGCAAAATTACATTTTCTAAAAGTCTCTGCTTCCCCACAATAAGAAACTTTCATCATCCTTTCTAGAAGAGAGAGAAATCAACCCATAATCTCTTCCTCATCAGATCATTCTCAAGGACCCATTCACAGTTACTTACTCTAGACAAATTTTCTAAAGGCTGGAATAAGAAAAAAACCTGTTATTTGGCTACAAAATTTTGGACTGGTTCTGAATTCTGTTCTGTAACCACTCACATCTGAGTCTGTGGCATTTTCTTCCTACTCCTTCTGTTTCTGTTAACTCTTGTTTATAGTCATTGCCCACTTCCTTTGGCCCTGGACACAATATTTACTGCTCAAAATTTTGAACTCTGAACTTGTCATTGTGGACTTTTCATTGACTGTAAATTAAGGTTATACATGGATTAGTAGGGCCTCTCTTCTTGTGAGACCAGCTGTGATATTGTTAAAAATGTTGAAATTTTGTAATAAGGAGTACTTTCTTTCAATTTCTTATAATGACATTTAATAGTAGTAGTGCAATGTCAAGTATGTTACTTTAAAGCAGCAATTTGTAAGAAATTACATTCTAATGTAAAATACAAAAGTAGGAGACTGTTTCTTAAACAGACCATCTGTATTTCCTGTAGGAATTTATAAAATCCCAGAGTACGTCATATCCCTATTGGCTGGGATTATCTCCTGAAAAAGATTACAGTTACGGTACGAGCGTGGATGATATAATCAACTCCTCTGCCTGGTAAGTGTCTATTCTTGTTAAAATTTTATAGTTGGGTTTGAGTAGAGGTATTTTCCTTAGGAGAACTGTAGATTCAAATTAAAACCAGCTTCAATTGAAATGAAATTGCATCCTAAAAGCACCCTTTTCTATCATGCTTCTTTGATGTATTTTCTAATACAGAAAGTTACCATAAATGTCTTCTATAATTTTGACAGGTAACTAACAAAATTACAGCAGCCAAATTATGGAGACCTCTGTAAATAATTTTGTCTAAGAAAAATTATGGAAGCCCAGAAAAGTCACTGGACTAACAAATACTTAATATTGTGCTAAGTTTTAGGGTTCAAAGATGAATGAAATATTGATTCATCACTAAAGTTACTTAACCATCAATTATATGTGCAGACTGATTGAACGATGCTAGAGATAAAGAGAATATAGTGTGATAAATGCTTCAGTAAGAATACACAGACTAACAAAATATAAATTTTAGCAATGATACTTTTGTTATAAATGACACTTGAAATGGGCATTTAAAAAAGTTTATGGATTTGGGGGTACAGTTGCAGTTTTGTTATATAAATATATTGTGTAATGATGAAGTCGTGTTTTCAGTGTAACTATTACCTGGATAGTGTACACTGTACCCAATAGATAATTTCTCATTCTTTATTTTTGTGACACAATCCTACTTTTTGGAGTCTCCAATGTCTATTATTCCACTTTTTATGTGTATGTGTACATATTATTTAGCTCCCACTTAAGTAAGAACATGCAATATTTAAGTTTATGTTCCTGAGTTATTTCACTTAAGAGAATGATCTCCAGCTCTATCCATTTTGCTGCAAAGTCATGATTTCCTTCTTTTTTATACTTAAGTAGTATTTCATGGTGTATATACTCTAAAAGAAAACACGGTTTCACGTTTTCTTATCCAATAATCCGTTGATGGACACTTAGGTCAATTCCATGGCTTTGCTATTGTAAATAGTTCTACAACAAACATTTGAGTGTAGGTGTCTTTTTTAAATACAATAATTCCTTTTCCTTTGGTTAGATACCCAATAGTGGAATTGCTGGATCAAATGGTAATTCCGTTTTTAGCTCTTTGAAAAATTGCCATAGAGTTTACACTAATTTCCATTCTGATGGTTGGCCCTACCTCTGGTGGTTGACAATGATAGGATACAATGGGAGATAAGCTATCTACAAATGAAGTGGAGAAGGATATATATTTTAAAGGCCTAATTTGTAGTGAAGGACTAGAGACAAAGGTAATGTTGTGTCAGGAGAGAGTACAGATGGAATCTTGTTTTGAAAATGTAGAATATGTATGTGTTTGTAATTATTGCAAATGGAATGGTAATCTATAATGGAATGGAAAACATTGTAGATATTTTCAATTATCAGAAAGAAAACTGAAAAAAGTACATAATAATTGTATGTGTGATATATATGTGTGTGTGTATATATATATGTATACATACCTTATTTTCATTTTTTAACTCTGTGTTGTTTTGGGGTTTGTTTCTGAGAGGGGGCCATAATAAATGACATCTGTACTATGTCACCACAAATAAATCTCATTCTTAAAAATTTAATTGATGAACTTATTTACTGGTTGATGTCATTTTTTTTACCCAAATATTGATGCTAAATTATTCTAAAAGATTTTTTTTTTTTAATTTATAAATTTGTTTTTAATGCATAGTCCCTGATCACTAATCTAGTATTTATGGGCTGGTCATTAGAACTTCAGAGTAAAGGCCAGGCGCGGTGTCTCACGCCTGTAATCCCAGCACTTTGGGAGGCCGAGGCAGGCGGATCAGGAGGTCAGGAGATCGAGAACATCCTGGCTAACATGGTGAAACCCCATCTCCACTAAAAATACAAAAAATTAGCCGGGCATGGTGGCAGGCGCCTGTAGTCCCAGCTACTCAGGAGGCTGAGGCAGGAGAATGGCATGAACTCAGGAGGCGGAGCTTGCAGTGAGCCAAGATCTCGCCACTGCACTCCAGCCTAGGCAACACAGCAAGACTCTTGTCTCAAAAAAAAAAAAAAAAAAAAAAGAACTTGAGAGTAAAATCTTTTGAAAATATCACTTAGAGATGATGTTGAACTTAAGGTGTCATACCTCAGGTGAATTCCTGACTTTGATGATTATAAAAAGCACTTGAGGGAGACAGGGTCCAAGACTTACTACTGGGCCAGCTAGACTAGAGAATCTTACAGAATGGTATTATTCCAAATTATATTATACATGAAGGGGCTGGGGTGCTAAGTCTGTAAGCAAAGGACAGCAAATATCAGATGTTAGAAAGTGGAAAAAACAGGGAGAAATGAAGCAGTATTTGACATTGCATATGTGTCAACATAAACAATTAACTTGGACATTCTTGATACTCTGAACATTAATTAGATTTAGTTTAAACAATGCAGAGTCTAGGGCAATAATATCATGTTGGAAGTGTAATTTTTTTTTTCTGTGAATATGTTTCAAATATCTGACTTGCCAAGTGTAATTCTTTACTTTCTCTTTCAGGGTTACACGAAACGCATCTGACTTAAATAACATGTTTTGTGGATATATAAATAGAATATATGTTCATTATGATTACTGCATTTATAGAAAAAAAATGATATGTGAGAAGATGGCCAATCCAGTGCAGCTTGGTTTTATACATTTTAGGGAGGCATGAGTCATCAATCAAATACGTTTAAGGAGAGTGGGGGATTGGGGTTCCAGGCTATAGGTAAATTTAAATATTTTCTGGTTGACCACAATTGGTTGAGTTTGTCTAAGGACCTGGGATTTTATCACGCAGATGAAACATCCAGGTAGCAAGCTTCAGAGAGAATAGATTGTGAATGTTAATGCTGGAGAGGTATAATGAAGCATGTCCCTCCTCCCACTTCCCATCATCGCCTGAACCCTGGAGAAGAGGAAGTCCATTCAGATGGTTGTGGGGGGCCTTCGAATTTTATTTTTCATTTACATTCTTCCCCTTCTGGCCAAGATTTGCCAGAGGCAACATCCAAGACCAGCAGATTTTAATTTTGTCCCATAGCATTGCCAGGGTGGCATGGCTCGCCATCTCTGGTCCATCCTATACTCCGTGGGACTCCCTATAGCTGAAGGCCTTATGAGTCAAAGGACTTTTAGCCAATTGATTGTTCTAGGCCAGATAAGAATGGATGTGGACATGCATTATTACCTCTTAAAATTATTATTTTAAGTAAAAGCCAATAAACAAAAATGAAAAGGCAAGTTATGAGACTGACTTATTTTTAACTTCTGTGTGTTGAGCTACTGTAAGCTTGGCTTTTGTTAAAGACATACAGCAATCAGCTATGCAAGCATAAGCATTGCTCTGAAAAAATATATATAGAGACATGTTTATCTTCATAACTCTTAACTGGGAGTATTACACCCAAGAGGCTTTGTTACAAGGTATTTTTTATCCTGTTAGTAAATATATTCCTGTAATTCTATAATAAGCAAAAAAAATTTCATGGTTGGGGTAGATGCAAAAGTGACACATACTCATTTAGAAAGCAACTGAACTTGTTTTATCAGCTGTTTAGGCATTTTTGTACCCCTCCTTGATTTGGAGGGTTTGAGCTTGACCTAATTTTGTTCTTTAAAACCAGCCTTTACAATATTATGCCCCCTCCTCTTCTGTGACAGTAACTGGGCCTAGAGGGAAGCGTGCTTGTAGAGTTTTTGCAGCAGAGCATTTGCAGTGAAATACAGATCCTGGCTCAATGGGATGCCAAAATGAGGGAGAGCCACGTAAAAATACGGGATTTGTATTTTTAATCCCATTTCTATTAAAAATACAAAAATTTGCCAGGCATGGTGGCACACTCCTACAGTCCCGGCTACTCGGCAGGCTGAGGCAGGAGAATCGCTTGAACCCAAGAGGCAAAGGTGCCAGTGAAGTGAGATCGCACCACTGCACTCCAGCCTGGGTGACAGAGCAAGACTCCATCTCCAAAAGAGAATTAATTAATTAATTAAAAATGCAGCAAGAATGGATTGGTCATATAGGCTTCTTTAAGTTGACCTTGACTAAACTTTACCTAAAAATATGCTATTTTAGTTAAAGTCTTAGCAAAATAACCAGTGTCTCAAATTCTTTTGTTTTAAAAGATGCTTTTTGAATTTATGAAAATAACCATACTGTCATAAAATCACAATCCAAATTTTAGAACTCAAAGAGAAATATAAATTTGCTTACAAAAACATACTTCACTCAAATAATTCAAAAGAAAAAGATTTTATTGACCTTGCTTTAACCAGAGCAGGAGCTTTCAAACAATGTTTGTATATTAGGGAAATGCTATTTACAAGCCAACAACTCATGAAAGCTGTCTATCAGGCATGGTAGAATCTAGGAAAGAGGCTCCCTACTTATCAGTACTTTCTCCTAATATCCCCAGGTAGCAAGATTCTATGTAAATCATTTTTATTTTTTTATGGAACTCTTTTGAGCACCATCATTTTTATTAGCATAGGGATAGCTTCAGTTAAAATTCCATAGCAAGGCAGTAAATGCCTCTCAGGTGGAAATTCTCAGTTCAGTATTGTCATTGGGAAGTATTTACAGTTTTTTGCCATCAGCCCCAATAAATGTGCCACAAATGGCTATGAAGAGGAGGATTTGTCCCGACTAGCACTCTAGCTTCTACCCAATACTTTGTGGGCTCAGGCAATTTTACTAGTTCCCATTCAGCGTGTTCAATTAAAATTTACTAAAAGAGCAGATTTACATGCCTTCAGCTTTGTAGTACTAGAAAGGGGAAACATCTCCCAGTCAGATGTAGTACCCATTTTCACAAGACATTTAGGTAAAGGGCTTACAACTACATTCTACAAAGTTTGTTTAAACGTCTTAAATTTTATAATTCTATTAACCTGTATGTTTTCGTTTGTTTTTTTTTTGTTTTGTTTTGTTTTGTTCTTGGCCCCAGATCATTTTACCTTTTCTTTCTTTTTTTTTTTTTTTCTTTTTTGAGACAGAGTCCCATTCTTGTCACCCAGGCTGGAGTGCAGTGGCATGATCTCAGCTCACTGCAACCTCCACCTCCCTGGTTCAAGCGATTCTCCTGCCCCAGCCTTCCAAGTAGCTGGGATTACAGGTGCCCACCATCACACTTGGCTAATTTTTGTATTTTTAGTAGGGATGGGGTTTCACCTTGTTGCCCAGGCTGGTCTGGAACTCCTGACCTGAGGTGATCCACCCGGGTGTGTTGGCCTCCCAAAGTGCGGGGATTACAGGCATGAGCCACCGCGCCGGGCCTATTTTATCTTTTCTGGTGAAAAAGGGTTTGGGTTCCCAGCAGGGAGTTGCATCTGTGAGACCTATAAGGAACAACAAATTTGATAAGGCTTCTTCAACAGTCCTGTGATTCTGTGGGAGGGGCACCAATGCAAAAGGGGCTCCCTGAACTCCAAAATTTACCTTGACCTGGGTAATAGGCATATTTGCCGAGAGGATAACCCAGTTATCATAAAACCAGCCCAACATGGTTTTCGTGTGAAGCATATTAACTGCTTCACCTGGGGTGATTAACTTGGTATTTTATGGGGAGAGTTGGGCAGTTTCCTGATGATACAGTTTGGCTGTGTGCCCCCCCAAATCTCATTTTGGATTGTAGCTCCCATAATTTCCACGTGTTGTGGGAGGGACCTGGTGGGAGATAATTGAATCAGGAGAACGGTTTTCCCCATACTGTTCTCATGCTAGTGAATAAGTCTCATGAAATCCGATGGTTTTATAAGGGGGAACCACTTTCACTTGGTTCTTATTCTCTCTCTTTCCTGCTGCAATGTAAAACATGCCTTTTGCCTTCCCCCACGAATGTGAGACCTCCCCAGCCACATGGAACTATGAGTCCATTAAACCTCTTTTTCTTTATAAATTACCCAGTCTTGGGTATGTCTTTATTAGTAGCATGAAAATGAACTAATACAGTAAATTGGTACCAGTAGAGTGGGGCAGTGCTTGTAAAGATACCCAAAAATGTGGAACCAACTTTGGAACTGGGTAGTGGGCAGAGGTTGGAGCAGTTTGGAGGGCCCTGAAGAAGACAGGAAAATGTGGGACAGTTTGGAACTTCACAGAGATTTGTTGAATGGCTTTGACCAAAATGCTGATAATCATATGGACAGTGAAATCCAAGCTGAGGTGGTCTCACGAAGATGAGGAAATTGTTGGGAACTGCAGTAACGGTGTGAAAGAGACTAGCAACACATGTTGCCTGGCATTCCCATCCCCAGCAAAGTCTCACCGTAGCCTCAGCCACTGAGGAAATCAGACACCAATGATGCTAATTACAGCTGAAGAAATCATATGGAGACTACACTATTGAGCTCACCTAGAATCAAAGCCAAAGCACCCTACTCAACCAATACTACACATACATCTATAGAAAAAAGTGTTTCCCTATGAAAGCCAATGCATAAAATTAAAGGAAACAATCCCTTTCCAATGGCCAGAGAGAGGATTGAGGACATAAGTCCCTTCCATCTACCGAACAAATTTCCTATTAAATTTGTGAAGGGATCATTTAGTTCAGAATTTTTGGCTAACTCATTTGATAGGGCAGTAAGACCCTGTAATGCTTTAGTTACGGTCTGCCAGGAGCAGTGTTATTAGGGATATAAGTACAGCATTGAATCCTGATCGTGACACAAACTCCACCTTCTTTTGCTAGTATCATGTCTAATGCTATCCTATTTTCCCAGGCCATTTGACTGGTGGGTCCGAAGGAATTAATAAAGATCAAAGAACAATTAACACATTGGAATATTGTCAGACATAAAATTTATAAATGAAAGGCCAATCTAAGAAAGAAAAAACCCAGATAAATGCTGTCTAATTGGGAAAATTTTACAGATAATTTTGCTGTCTTTGAAATTATTCTGTATTCAAGGTAGCATTTTTTCCCATTCTAATACCACTTGCTAATTTTACTATAAAAATAAATATTTTCAACAACAAAAATTGCAAAATAAAAAAGCACATAAACCATATCATCTTAGAATCTCATCTTCCTCATTATATGTATAAGAAAACAGGCAAGGTGCAATGACTTACACCTGTAATCCCAGTACTTTTGGAGGCTGAGGTGGGTGGATTACTTCAGTTCAGGAGTTTGAGACCAGCCTGGGCAACATGGCAAACACTGTCTCTACAAAAAAAAAGAAAAAGTCAGCTGGCTGTGGTGACACATGCCGGTAGTCCCAGCTACTTGGGAGGCTGAGGTGGGAGGATTGCTTGAACCCAAGAGGTCAAGGCTGCAGTGAGATATGATCATGCCATTGCTCTCTAGCCTGGGCAACAGCATGAGATCCTGTCAAAGAGAAGAAAGGAAAGAGGGAAGGAAGCAAGAAAGGAAGAGAAGGGAAGGGAAGGGAAGGGAAGGAAGGGAAGGGAAGGGAGGGGAAGGGAAGGAAGGAAAGGGAGGGAGGGAGAGAGGAAGAAAGAAAGGAAGGAATATTTGCTTTAGTAATATTAATAATATTGCTAAATATACTAGTAATAGGTGCTCTGTTTTTGGGTGCATATATATTCTAGTAGGATGCTGCATCGTACCCTGTGCCTGAGGATTAATTCAAAGACTTATTGAAATAGCTCTCACTAAAACCTCTTAGGATCCTCCTCCCCCGATTCAAATAGGCTTTTCCTTCAAGAAGACCAAGTAGAACAATGGAGCCAAATTATGTTAGAAAGATTTGAAGAGAAAGAGTTATGACAAAAGGGAAAGGGGGAAGTTGCGGGATATGATGAAGTTGCTCTTCAAATAATCTGATCAATCTTTTATTCTTTAATTCATAGTACCCCTCCACCTTTTTTCACCTTTTTTTCTTTTTGCCTTGTTAGATGCCCAGGCATGCCACAGTACCAGGCGTTATCAGTACCAGCTCACTTTCCTTTCCTTATTTGGAAAGAGGACTAACTTTCTAGCTCATTACAGACACCCCTTCCCCTTCCTCTCCAATTCTTTTACGTGCCCGCCCTATCTAAAAAAAAAAATCAAATGTTTAGCCAACCAGGATGAGTTTAGAGTGTACGACCTGAGCCCAGCCAATGGGGAAAAGGTACACGGGCAGGACTTGCATCAGGAATAAAGGCTCTCGTGCCCCTCTGTTCAGGTGTGCTCTCATGGTAACTGGCCAAGGAGGCACCCCTCTGTGCAGAAGTAAAATTGCTTTGCTAAGAATCCTTTGTTTGAGTGTTTAATTTCCTTAGGATTGTGAGCGTTATTCCTAACAACACCATGAACTGTACCCATATAAGACAGTTAACTTTATTGATAAATACCAATAAATGCTGTGTATGTTCTGACGGTTCCACTGAACAATTGTTCCCTCATCTCTCTACTTTTCCTTGGGCCTCCTTATATTTACTAAGCCCTAACAATATTAAAAATAGGCCAGTAATGGCCCTACAAAGACCTGTAAGTGTTCAAGTAAAGGAAGAGTCGCATGTCTCTTACTTTAAATCAAAAGCTAAAAAGGATTAAACTTAGTGAGGAAGGCATGTTGAAAGCCCAGATAGGCCAAAAGCTAGGCTTATTATATAAAACAGCTAACCAAGATGTGAATGTAAAGAAAAAATTCTTGAAAGAAATCACAAGTGCTGCTCCAGAGAACACACAAATAATAAGAAAACAAGATAGGCTTATCACTGGTATGGAGAAAGTTTAGTAGTCTAGATAGAAGATGAAATCAATCACAACATTCTCTTAAGTCAAAGCCTAATCCAGAGCAAGATCCTAACTCTTGTCAATTCTATGATGGGTGAGAGAGGTGAAGAAGCTGCAAAAGAAAAGTTAGAAGCTAGCAGAGGTTGGGTCATGAGGTTTAAGGAAAGAAGCCATCTCCTTAACATAAAAACGAAAGATGAAGCAGCAAGTGCTGATGTAGAAACTGCAGCAAGTTACCCAGAAGATATAGCTAAGATAACTGAAGGTGTCTACACTGAACAATAGATTTTTAGCATAGATGAAACAGCTTTGTATTGGAAAGACATGTCATCTAGGATTTTTATACCTAGAGAGGAAAAGTCAACATCTGGCTTGAAATCTTCAAAGGACAAGCTGACTCTCTTGTTAGGGCCTAATGCAGCTGGTGACTTTAAGTTAAAGCCAGTAGTCTTTTACCATTTCAAAAGTCCTAGGGATCTTAAGAATTATGCTAAATGTAACCTGCCAATGCTCTACAAATGAAACAACAATGTCTGGATGACAGCACATTTGTTTATAGCATTGTTTACTGAGTATTTTAAGCCCATTGTTGAGAAACGCTGCTCAGAAGCAAAAAAGAGGTCTTTTTTTTTTCTTTTCAAAATATTACAGCTCATTGACAATGCACCTAGTCACTCAAGAGCTCTTATAGACATGGACCAGGAGGTTAATGTTTTCATTCCTGCTAACACAGCATCCGTTTTTGCAACCAATGAATCAAGGAGTAATTTTGACTTTCAAGTTTTATTCTTTAAGGAATACACATCAGAAGGCTATAACTGCCACAGATAGTGATTCTTCTTACATATCAGAGCAAAGTTAATTGAAAACCGCCTGCAAACGATTTACCATTCTAGATGCCATTAAAAAGATTTGTGATTCATGGAAGGAGGACAAAGTATCAACATTAACAGACACTTGGAAGAAGTTGAATCCAACCCTCATGGATGACTTTGAGGGGTTCAGGACTTCAGTGGTGGGAGTAACTGCAGGTATGGTGGAAATAGCAAGAGAACTAGAACTGGAAGTGGAACCTGGAGATGTGGCTTAATTGATGCAATTTTATCAGGAAACTTTAATAAATGAGGAGCTGCTTTTTATGGATGAGCAAAGAAAATGGTTCTTGAGACAAATATTACTCCCGGTGAACACGCTGTGAACATTGTTGAAGTGATAATAAAGTATTCAGAATACTGCATAAACTTAGTTGATAAAGCAGTAGCAGGATTTGAGAGGACTGACTTCAATTTTGAAAGAAGTTTACTATGAGTAAAATGCTATTTAACAGCATCTCATGCTACAGATAAAAATTTCATAAAAGGAAGACTAAATTGACACCACAAAGTTCACTGTTGTCTTATTTTAAAAATAGCCACATCTACCCCATCCTTCAGCAACCACTGCTCTGATCCATCAGCAGCCATCAACATCAAGGCTCCACCAGCAAAAAAAGATTTTCACTCACTAAAGACTCAAATAATTGTTAGCATTTTTAGCAATAAAGTATTTTTAACAAAACTGTGTACATTTTTTAGACATAATGCTATTACATACTTAATAGAAGACAGTGTAATGCAAACGTAACTTTTATATGAATTGGGAAAACAAATAATTAGTGTGACTCACTTTATTGCAGTAATTGCTTTATTGTGGTGGTCTGGAACTGAACCCACAATATTTCTAAGGCATGCCTGTAGGTTAGTTTCAAATTGAACAAGGCAGAAGTCAAACGTTGCTGAAGTTCACTTAGATAACATGTAAAAGATTTAGTATTTGAAATGAGGTGGTCTGACCTGTGCTACTAACATTTGTGCTGTTTTGATTTTATGTATAAGATGCTTTAGATAGGAATACCAGAAAAAAAATGACAGTGATTGGCTTACAGTTTTAATTGTATTGTTGCCATGCACTAAGATATTATTCTTCTAAGTTTATGTGTGCTATAGTGATGTATACACATATATTTTTCCATTTTGGGGGGATGAAACAAAGTCCAGAGATACTAATTTTGGACAGTTTTCTGAATTATTAGTTTCTATTTAGTTTCTCTAAATAGACAATTCAAAATAAAAAACATACTGATACCATTACCCAAATCCAAGATCTCCAGACATTTGAAGTAACAAGTAAAATTTGAGGTATTTCTGTTATTGTTCCTAAGCCCTCCAAATCTGCTTGTTTATTGATAGTCTAGAAAAAAGATAGAGATTCAAGTGTCTTTGAGTGTTAGTGCACAGAGCTTTAAGAGTAACACACATTTATTAAGGATGTGTTACATGCTTGGAATTCTGATCAATACTTTACATAATCATATTAAATGATCTTCACAATTAACTTATGAGCAAGGTAATAATATCAAACCCATTTCAAGATGAGAAAATAGAGTTTTAAAGACACCAAATTACTTATCCAAAGCCACATAGAGGGTAAGTTCTAAAGTAGTGATATTTCTCTAACTGTATTAAAGACTACTTGTATAAGAATTGTGTCATGGTGCTGGTAAAAACCCAGGTCTCTGTGTGTCCTCAGTCTTCCTACTGAGTAACATCAGCATTTGTGTTTCCTATTTGGTTTCTCTATGTTTTGACCAACACCTCCGTTGAGATGTTTGAGAATCATGTTCATAAATTGTATCCACTAGTTAAAAAAGGGAAGCTGTGGGAAAGAAATGCAACTTTTGCCTATATCCTGTGAAAGGGTGCCTTTCTACATATTCTGTAAATGCTTCCTCAGTTACTCAGCAAAAATAAAGCACAGAACTGTTAGGAAAATGCTAGATAAAGCATTCTTACTTGTCCTTCTGTCTAGTAGCCTCTGAAACTTGTTAAGAAGCATTTATTCATTTTACAAACCCCATGAGTTTTCTTGCAAACTTTCTTTTCCTTCTCTAGCACAGAAAATTACTACTGTTGAATCTAACCAGAGGTAGACTTGGAATAGTAATTGTATTTGTGTAATGTTTTAATGATTGAGGTATTTTTCTCATGAACTATCTTATACAATGAGAAACTAGTATCTCTCTGTTTTGTGAGCCAGGGTCTGGGGTTGGTGCTGGTAACAGAATAGTGAATGGGGAAGTCATACTCTTCGCTTTCATGGAGTTTCTAGTACAGTTAACACTCTAAAGTTTTATTTTAGATTGTGGAACTGTGAGGTATAAAAGATGGGTGTTATTATTTCTATTTTAAATATGAGAAAAAGGAAGTTAAAAAGGCTATGAAACTGGTTCATGATTGTCATTTACATAATTGACACCTAAATTATTTTGCTGATTCTAAGTTTAATATTCCTTTTACTATCTTACACTGCCTTTCAAACCTAGATAGTTTGGACAGATTTCAACAACTTTTTGCACAACTTATATCAATTAAGCCCTAACCCATGTTGGCCTGATTTTGATTTTATGTGTATATATCTGAAGATGCAGTAAATCATACTATGTTCAGGTAATTAGAAATGGAGGACAAGAAGAATGAAAATTAAAGGAAAATAGAATAATTGGGAAGTAAATGATAAACTCATGTTATTGTTTCTGTATATTCAAAGAAGAGACTAGGGAATTCTGATAGGAAAGATAATATTAAAAATAACTCCAAAGAGAAGAAAGGGAGAAATACGCAATTTTCAGCTACTGATTCATTCATACATATCTTTTATTGTACAATAAAGCCCTTATCTGTGTTATCCTATCCATCTCTTTGCATTAAGGTAGTTGGTCAACCTTGGTCATGCCAGCCTTCCTCTCACACATTAAATAATGTTTGTTTTCACAGAAGGTAGGGTGCATTTTCCCATTATGAAAATAAGCACAGTTCATATTTCCTTTTCCGTCTTCCAAAAGCTCAAACCTGTGAATGGGAAAGTTAGAATAAATTCCTTTGAAAACTAAGCAAACAATCAGTAATCATACTCTGTGTATAGTAGTTTGATGCACCAAATAGAGTCTCTGAGGAAAATAGGAAAAAAAGAAAAAGCAATTCTCATTGTTGAGAAACTTCCACGCTGCTTGGAAGTACAAGGTACGTATATTTGAAATTTCAAGCCCAATATCAATTTCATGTAGCATAAGATTGGGAGCAAGGGAACTCTAGGTACAATAGGAGCCCTGAAGAAGTGATGGAGATGGCTCCAGAATAATGGGAAAATGCGTTATCTACAAGATCAGACTTTAGTTCAGTATTGATGGAAGGTCAGGGCTTAGATGAACTGACAGGAGATGGAAGAGCCCTACAGGACAAGTAGCTGCAATGGATGGGAATACACTCGTGGAAAAGTGAGTTGATTCAGTAGTTTTGAAATCAGGCTTTCTGTTACAAGATAAATCATCTAAGACAGCATGCTGTATTTTAATTGTCTGTTAAGTTATATTTATTTCTTTCTAAACTGCTTATAATGAGAGGACAAGGAACATATACTTATTAGTTTATTTAGAAAATATCTGCAGAACCATGTGGCAAAGATTTTCTACGTGCTGAGGACACACTGATAAAGAAAGACAAGGAAGATAATGTCTTTCTTGTTGGGGAACTTTCATTTCAATGGGGCGATACCAGCAGGAAGCCCACAAAAAATAGACAAGAAAAATTCAGACAATGGTAAGAGTTACAAAGAAACAAAACAGTGGTAGACTGTATGGATGTGGGTTTAAGGGAGGCTAATTTAGTTTGGGTAGAGTTAGCCTCATTGAAGAAGTGATGTTTAAAGAGAGACTTGAGTCACAGGAGATAGATGGTCATGGAGTTGTGAAGGCAGAGCATTCTAGCAGAAGAAAATAGCAAGACAAAAGTCTTAAGGCAACAAAACAAGTTTGATTTGTTGGAAGAATGGAAAGAACACTAATTTGCCTGCAATACTGTGAATGAGGCAGCAAGCAATGGGAGATAGGAGATAAAGCCCAAGGTCTGCGAAGAGGCTTGCTTGTAGTTGTAGTATCCTAAGATTCTACCTATAGCAAATACTTAATAAATATTTGTTTAAAAATTTAATTAATAATTTGAGTAATTATCAGATTATATAAGTTTTGGTTATCAGTTTAAATTTTAATTGAAGAGAGACTGCAGTTTTGATGTACAGGATGAACAAAAGATGTCGAGACTAGAGATTAGAAAGCCATATAGGAAGCAACTCAACTCTTAATGCAATTAGTCCCTTTGCCTGGATTGTTTGTAGAAGGATGAAGCTTCATTAATGGACATTGGAATTATCTTGTGAACTACAAAGTATCGAATTCTTGGAGACTCCTAGAATAGAAGAGTAGGCAAAATAACACTGAAAATTCAAAAGGACTCTCAAGGTAACAACTGTCAACTGTAAAATAATGATAATGAAATTTTGTTTCAAAAATATATGAAGATAATCAGAGCAAGCAAAACACGAACACACACACATGCGCGCATGCGTGCTCGTGCACACACACACACACACACACACACACACACACACACATGCACACAGTGTTCCAAGGTAAAGTTGAATGTAAAAATGAATGGGAATAATATCAGAGATAAAGGTGGATTGTGGCTTAGATAAAGAGCAAAAGAATGGGAGAGAGGGGAAAGAAGAATTGTCTTACGACCAGTACTCTCTTGTTTGAATTAGCAGGTAAATGAACCAGCTGCTGCTTATACAATCCATAGTAGTGACTTGGACTGAAAGAAAAGGAAATCTCAAGAATAAGAGTTTCTAGTACTGCCTCCTATTCTAAGTGTCCAGTGACTTACATATTTTCTGAGAGAACCGAGCCATCCTCCCACTTCCAGACCTCATTGGACTTCTGGCGAGATAATCCGACCCAACGAATTAAACCAGTCCTGGCTTTGATGTATTCCTATAGTAAACATAAATAAACACAATAATCAGAATCCCTCCACAGCTCTTGGTAATGACAGACAAGCTTCGTGATAAGACGTTGGACAAAAAATGTTGGATTACATGTCTATATTAATATTAATGAATTACATTTGATGTTTGAAATTGTCCCAATTTGACTTGTCTGAGAACTTAAAAAAAAAGTAGGACACAGGTAAAATTGTACACAAAATAGCTGATATTCTAATCTTGCTTTGTTTTATGACATATATTTAGATCTTCAGTCAGTTGAGGATTATACTCCCAAATAGAATACCAAATATGATTCAAAGGAATACATGTAAACAGAGAAAGGAAACACAAAGAAATATATTGTTGATGAGCTGTATATTCCTTAGAGTTAAAGTCCTACCTGCTTTGGTTTTATTGCTCGTCTTGCCTATAAAATCTTATATATAGAAGTATTAACTTGTTTTAGTTAATTGTATAAAGGCATTTATGATGTCTTTCTCAAAACGATTTATAAATAACGTACATCTACCTTTCCCTATTTACTTTCTTCTAATTAGCAATTATCACTATCTAGTAAACTATATACTATATCATTTGTTTTGTTTCTTGGCTGTTGCTTTAACTAGAATATACTCTCTTTGAGGTTAAGGATTTTTCTTTCTGTCTTATTAACTGCATAGGTCCAAATTCTGGAATAGTTTCAGCACATAGTTGTTGAATTAATGAAGGAATAAGTGAATCAATCAACCTATGGGTAACAAAATTATGTGAAGGCCAAATGCTTATACATTCTCAGACCTCCCAGAATAACAAGTGATGATGCATTCTTGGTAAATAAAAAATGACTAGAGCTTCTTGGCAGATATGTGAGACTCAAAATGGCATTCCACAGGAGATATTGTGTGAAAGTCATGTGTGACTGTTTATTTCTTAAAGCTTGAGCCACCAGGAACCTTTCTGTTATTTCCTAATATTTTCTTTAAAATATATCAATATTCTATACTTCCCAATAGGAACTGACAGATAAATTCTACCTGAAATCCAACTATACAATTTCTTATTCTCGAAAAGTTGCATGACTACTTTTAGTTATAAATCTTCAACCTGGCATCTGCCTAGACTAATACAAATTCAGGATATGCATATATGTCTCGAATTAATCTCTATATAATAGAGCTGAGATTTTTAGAAAACTATCTTATTTTGCTGGAGTGGAAAGAAAAGCTAATTTGTTTAACTGGATATCTCCCGCATGAGTCTGAGTCCACAGAAACAGTAAGCGGACAGCACAGCAAGTTAGAACAACAGAGGATACAAATAAATATGAACATTGCTGGGCTGACTCTTTACGTGTGACCCACTATGTCCTGAGCTGTCAGGAAGGGACAAGTCAATTTGACTGATCAACTCTAGCAATGTTGTAGAATATTATGATTGGATTGAATATTTGGGTTCTGTAGTTCTTACTAGGTTTCATAAGGTTCTTAGATTAGTACAAACGGAAAGATGTTAAGAAAAATGTAAAAAACAAAAAAGGTCAAGTGTTACATTTGAGGTTTCTCTCCCTTGCCTCCAAAATATTTGACATAAGAATCTTCTTACCAGAATGTTATGGTTGTCAATCTTCAGTAGAGTAGCATTCAAGTCAGTGCAGTACTGCTTACTCTCTTTCCATGTTAAGTTGTGCTTGAAGAACCCATAGCAGTTATCTCCATAGTATCTCCAGTTTGTGTCACAGGGGCTGCATTTATGACCTTCTGGAGCAACCAAGCACAGGAATGGTGTATTTTTTCTAAATTGGGCTTACATGTTCTCCACATTCAATGTTTTCTGCATATCTCAAGACTCCCTTCAGTTGCCATAAGAGAAATGCTCCAGGGGTTGGAGAGATGAAGAGGTTAAAAAAACAGTACTTACTGAAAGTGCCCTTTAGTTCTGATTGTTTTATTACATATTGGCAGAAACGCTTTGCTAATTGTTGCAGAGTTCCTGTGCGATTTTCATTCTCATCTTGTAGGTAATTGTGCTGCATGACAGCTAGATTCAAAAAGTAAATAATAATAATTTGTAATTAGAACCATAGAAATGATGCAAAGATCTGTCATTGAATTTTCATTTCATTAACATTGCCAATATGTGAGGAGTTAACTAGATACACATGATTAAATGAATATTGAAAAGTGTGAAGGGGCTATAAAGAACAAATCAAGAAATAGAACTGACACCTGAGGGTTAATGAGTGAACTGTTTGAAGGAGACAATGACAAATAAAAAAATCCCAACATCAGTAATATCCCCAGAGCTTGTATTCACTTGCTTCAATACAAGCTTCTCAACTGAGTTGTAGAGGTGAATGACCTTTTATTTTCTGTACTTTCTGTGATGCCAAACTATTCATTCATTTAAAAGTGCATACTGATTTCTTGTTATGCTTAAAGTACTTGTGACATTTAGGTAAATAATAAAGAAATACAGGATGATAAGTGTTAGATTCTAACATCTTTTAAAAAATCAACAAATGCACAAACAAGCAACAACTCCACAGACTACAGTGTGCCATTGGAGGGCTGTGAGAATTACAGAAAGAAGAAATGCACAATAATTTAGTAAGCAAAATGAGAAGCAGAAAATGTTAGAGAGAATTGAATGAGAAAAATTTCAGACAAGGGAACATGGAATTTATATATGAAATTGAAAAACTCTAGTTTGGTTGGTTCTTAGGATATGCAAGATAGGAAAAGGGACAAGGAAGTTTTTAAAAATAGTTTGGATCCACACTGAGGAGGGTCTTAAAGGCTGGTAGTACATTCTTAAAAATAACTTTTAATTAATTAAAATCTTAAAACCTTATCTTAAACTCAAGGAAATGGTCAGCATTCTCCTTTATTGAGATTCTCTTGGTAACTATCTGTAGGACAATTGGAGTAGTGATAAATACACAAATAGTGACCATTGAGAAGCTTAATGGGATATGCCATGACCCTTTCAGTATTACCTTCCTCCAATCAAATTTCTGGCAGAGTCAATACTTACACCAAATCCCCAGAGCTACCAGCCCGACAACCATCCCCACGCACAGAATCAGCAGAATCAAAGCCATCACACGCCACCAGGAGGAAGAAGCAGGATCAACTGTAGGCATATAATAAAGATATCAAGGAGCAGGCAGTACGGGTTAGCTATGGGGAAGGCTCACCCCTGCCCCTGCCCCTGCCTTCTCAGGGTCCTCCAAGTAATAGAAAGAGCTTTGCTGGCAGATCTCACCTGTGTTCTCTTAATGATCATCAACAATAGGCATGGCCCACTCCCATACCACACACCCATCCTCATCCCCAATGGACTTTACCTCTCCAAGCCAAAATATTACTTGCTGTTAAGGCCTGATGCGTTTGTATTTTTTGTTTTGTTTTGTCTTATGCCCACCCATTCCATGAATAATTGTTTTAATAAACAGCAAATGAAGAATCACACTCATTTGCTCACATTCAGAAAACGAAACTTCCAAACATTCTCTTCCCTTATCCCCTTGACTTCTATGCCCTCCAGCATTAAACGTTCAGAACCTTAATGCAGTTTTCCCTGCATGTATATTGGATGCTTGTAATCTAAATAGGTCTGTATGAGCTTATGAAAACACTACTCAAATGCTTTAGAGCATTAACATCATTCAAGAAAAAGAAATTAAACTATATACACTATCCATAGTAGAAAAAGAAAAAAACTGAATCAACTCATTTTTTAAATTAATTTCCAAATTATTGGCTCTGAGCATTCTTACCGGAGATGAGAGCTGGTTTTCGAGTTTTAATATTTAAGGTGACGTATCCATCTTCATCCTGCATGGCTTCCCGAGTACTGCAACTGAGCTCGGAGTTCAATGACTTTGCAAAATGTAGTTTCCAAGTCTTACAATCTCAATATCTGTCAGTATATGATCTTCCTGTCTCTAGTAGGGTAGAATCATGTGAGATGGGACACATTTTTTTCTTTGCTTATTGTTTTCCAGGAAGCCTTTGCATAGCTGCTCAGAGATACATGGATCTTGAACACAAACACACAAAAATAATAATAACTTGTGGTAAAGGAGTAGATAGGGTATTTGCTTCCTGTTTTTTTTTTTTTATCTTCAACACTAAATAAAGGGGCATTCCATCATATGTATCCTTTCCAAGAACAAAGGTTCCTGCTTTATCTTAGCTCTAGCTTAGTCTAAATTATATTGCTGAAATGAGAGATTTCTGATGAAAATTCACGGATAGCTCACCAGCAGATATATAGTTTATCCCGTTGTGAGAAGCAAGTCTAATATAATTGGATCTGACAGGGGCTAAATTAGCTGTTTCATAGTCTTGTGTTGGAGGAGATCATTCCTGATTATAACCTAGAATTTATACAACTTCTTGCATATTTTACACATTTTATTTTTTATTTGAAGGATCCACATGAGGCAGGCCTGATATTGCTTAGATTTAGGTATTGAAGGAAAACTATCAAATAAAGTAAAATAATACAGAATGAGTGACTTGCTGCATTGTTCTTTACTAGTGTTTGTGCTTTAAAGTGAGTTTCCTGGAATGGAAGAATTTTGATTTGGTGAAATCACTTCATTTCAAGTACAGTGGTGCTTAGATGAATATTTAAGACTGAATGAGTCCTAGCACCCTTCCATCACAATGTAATATGATTGCACATATTTAACTTTATGAAATGTGCTTTTAAATTATCTTAGCTTGCATTGAAAGTAGTTATAAGCACAGCCATACAAAGCTAGCTGATGCGTTTATTATAGGAATATTGGGAAGGATGTTATCTATTTTGCCAGAGAGTAGCTCTTACTTAGTTTTATGGCTGATTTTTACTTTTGTTAAATCGCCATGACTAGCAAAACTTTTAGTAGGCATTTACCTTATAAATAATCTAAATTCTATTTTTCTTTAATTAGCAGAGTATTCAACTTTTCAATATAGTTGTTATGTGGGCTGTAGTAGGCGATATTTTGTTTATTAACTTGCCCTTTGGCATAGCTTGTAGATTTTTTTTCTTCCCTGCTATATGCTTCACTCTGAATTCCTTGTCAATTCACTTAAAATTATCTTTCATTCTAAATTTCTGTCTCTATACTCTTCAAATTACTTTGAGAATGAGGTGAAGAATAAATGTAACACACATAAAAGACATTCCCGAATTTTGGAAAGCCAAACTTATTATGATTCAAATATTTTTACCAAAACTAATTCTTAATTAAAAAAATCACACTTGAAATAAATGCCAAATTTTAAGAAAGGACTAAAAATTAAAAAAAAACATTAGATCCCAACACCATTTTTGTTGCTGAGTTTCTTATCTCAATTAAAATATTCAGGGATTCCCAATCATAAGCTGGGTAAATTCAGTCACTTCCCATTCATCTACCACTGCTTCTGTTCTCATAACTTCTCTTTCAGCCAAAAGGGACTCTTTGCTCTCCCATCACTAATCCTCAGGCTTTTCTGGAAGATTCGGGTTGGAATGGGGTTTGATCCTCTCTTCCTTCCTTTCTGCACCTACTCATCAGCAAGTCCTGAGGCTATTCTGTCACAGTAACCCCCCTCTTTCAGGTTCTGTCACTGCCTTACTTCAGTGTTTTGTTACCTAAAATATACAGAAACACTAAAAAATAATTGAAAAAATAACTGTGACAAAGTAACAGAGAGAAAAAAAAATGTGCAGAGGTTATAGTTCAAATGACACTTTTCTAATAAAGCTTTATTCTGTTCTCTAAGGTACCAAACAGGCACATATGAAAACTTAATTCGTTACATTAAATCAGATATGTAAAGGTAAGATCCAAGGACATTGAGAAGATTTTGTAATTATTGTCAAGAGTTTTTGTTTATTAACAAAAACTTTATGATGGTATTAAAAATAACCATTAGATTGCTTTGTTGAGGTATCCACATTCTCTACGTCTTGAGCAGCTGATTTCATTATAAAACATATCCCATTTATTTTTGTAAACCACCAGGAATGTGCCAGGATTAGTTCTTGATCCTTTAATGCTTGGAACGGTATATTTAATGCCTGAAGTATTTAACACGCTGCCTTTGGAGACACTCCTTTCCTATATCTCAGACTCTGGACTTTCCATTGCTTCATTCCTCTTTCTTCTTGTAATTTAATCTTTCTTTTTGGATCTTTGATCATTCCAGCCACAGTCTGAGAGTCTTATATCTTATCTGTGTTCCACAAAATACATGTTTGCTTTTCTGTCTATCCCCCTAACGTGACTTTGTGGTGTTAGAAGCAAGCTGAGTGAAGACAGAGGCTCTCAGGGCCAAAGGAACTAGCCCTTGATAACACTGAGTTCTAATTTTGCTCCCTCCCCACATTCTATAAATGTAAGTTGAGTTACTCAGCAAAAATTAAGCAGAGAACTACAGGAAAGAGAGACAGATATCACAAATGCTTCTTTTCCTTTTCCCAAATCCAGAGTCTTTGCTAGTTACCTTTTAATCACCCTCTAAAGCCCATTATTAGCTTATTTTATTTCTGCGTCAATATTTTAACCTTGCTTGAATATCTTATTCCCTTCTCCTTTTCTTCACTAAGGAAACTATATACAGCTAAAATTTTTTTTTTTTTTTTGAGACAGAATCTTGCTCTGTTGCCCAGGCTGGAGTGCAGTGGTGCAATTTTGGCTCACTTCAAGCTCCACCTCCCAAGTTCACACCATTCTCCTGCCTCAGCCTCCCAAGTAGCTGGGACTACAGGCAACTGCCACCACGTCCAGCTAATTTTTTTTTTTTTTTGTATTTTTAGTAGAGACAGGGTTTATCATGTTAGCCAGGATGGTCTCAATCTCCTGACCTCATGATCCGCCTGCCTCGGCCTCCCAAAGTGCTGGGATTACAGGTGTGAACCACCACACCCGGCCTAAAAAAATTCTTTATTCCAAATTTCCTGCTGAAAATGAATTTGAAATAAAACCTTTTATTCATTTAATATTTTATAGATTAAGAACACTCTAAATTGTCTGTTTTAAAGCAAATATTTAACGAATGTTAATTACGTTCCAGACACTGAAATTGGTGCTGAGTATTCATGGAGAAAAATCATGAGGCTAGTCTTTATGAAGCACAGAGTGTTAGATTTTAGCTATGTGAACTTCTCTTTTTTTATTTAAAAAAAAAAAACGAAAAACACACACATTTAGAACATCTTACCCACCTGACTACACACCAGCCCACCTTCTTGTCCCTCTTCCTTGCTTCACTCTTTTCTATAATGCTGATCACTATCCGACACACATAGTTATCTTCGGTAATAAAATTTTCATCCATTATCCCCAGAAGAAAATGTTTCTTGGCTCTAAAATAGTGATGGACATTCACTTAAAGCAGGTTCTCAAGTAACATCCTTTTGTATAAGATTGTTTTGTTATAATATTTTGAGGAAAAAAATTGCTTCCTACCTGGGGCCACTGTGTAGAGTTTGCACGGTCTCCTCTGTCTGCGTGGGTTTTCCCCAGGTCCTCCAGTTTTCTCCCACATCCCAAAACTGTGCACATTAGGTGAATTGGTGTGTCTACATGCTCCCAGTGTGACTGAATGTTGGTGTGTGTGTGCGTGTGCCCTGTGGTGGGATGGTGGCCTGTCCAGAGTCAGTGCCCACCTTGTCCCTGAATTGCCGGGATGTGCTCTGGCCACCTAAACCATACAGCTGGAATAAGCAGATCGGAAAATGAATGAATGAATGAATACAAATTATTATAAAATAAGAATCTGTAGAATAGTCAATAACTATACAAATGCAGTATAAACTAGACAATAAGCAATGCAGTCTGAAAGCACTCAGGGAGCCCACTCTACCGATAATAGTCTTGTTGACCTACATCATTTAGAAGGTGCTTCTGACAATTTTTGCTTTGCAAATATCCATTCCTTGATTTAACCTACTGCTATGACCACCAACACCCACTGTTTAACCAAAAGTTGAGTAAATAATTACCTTACTTGTTTTTATTCCTCTTTCCTGAATGTATGTATTATGTATAATTCACAATTGTTTTAATAGTTACTTTTAGAAGTGTTTTGAGTCTTTATTTACCACTTGGGTAATGTTTTTGTGACCAGAAATATGCTGTAAGTGCTTAGCTCTTGTTTATATCCACTAGCCTATGATCAGATTGGCTTTGTACTACCTTGCTTCACCTAAGTCACAGTTTCTAAGAATCTATTAATTAATGATGTTAAGTGATGACTTTCTGTGTTACTCAATACATATTTGTCGAATAAGTGAAGCATATATGTATCACAGGCATTATAATCCTGATTTTGCACATGGGAAGAGAAGTTTAAATAATTTGAGGAACTTGTTAATCATCACACTTCTTGTAAAAAGTATACCATTTACCCGGTTTCTAAATTCTTTCCACTACATTATGATGTCTTTCATAGACTCCATTATCTATGTTTTTGGCTGAACAATGAGTTAAAGACACTAAGATAACAATGACAAGGCATACATGCAGTAAGAATGAAAATTAGTGGAATACATAACGTTATGGCTAAGACCGATCAATATACAGGGATGGCCGGTGGATTTGTAAAAGAGAAAGACAACAAGATGTTGACCACTGTGGGCGTTATAATAATGATTCCAGACAGAAACAAAAGGAAGTGAGTGTTTCACAACTGATGCTAGCTATTCACAGACTTTTGAATGTATACCACTTTTACACCAAAGCTGTCGCCTTTGACTTACCAGGCTTTCCCCAAATACCAAATACTGTTTAATCTGGAAATGGTAGGATTTCCTGTCATAGAAAAGTATAATTAATATTTTCTCCTTCATTTACAGAAAGCTTAAACATGTGGATTTCAAAATGAAATAAGTTTTTTTTTAAAGTTAATAAACTAACCAATTAATAAATATCAGACCAAAATTACAGCAGAACATTTATTACAAACAGTAGGGAAACTGAAGGAAAAAAATGTGTCAGTCTGCATCATACCACAGAGTTGATCAGGCATATGTACACAAAACATATGTAAGTAAAAAGTTAAATAATAAATAACAATCAATTAA